AAAAAAAATCAGGCGTTATTGGGGGGCACCAGAACTTCTGAGGACCCCATGACATCTTCCTTCGCTAAGAGAGCTAGTTAGCTCTGGTTAGCTTATGTTATTCTTTAGTTTTTTCTTCTGTTTTATTCCTAAGTTGCTTGTCACAACCATGATGTGTCAACACCATAACTGACAATTTACAACACTTTGATTAAATTTTGTGAAATAAAAGCTTAATTTTAGTATACTGTAAAGATTTCATGGACCTGACGAGCTACAATATGACCTCCTTCAGAATAACATCATGTAAATTGATATAGTTTGGCTTTTCGTCAACTCTGTCAGATGTCAACTCCATCAGAGTTTTTGTAATTCTTTCAGTGAAATTGTTGTCAAATCTCACTTTATTGTGCAATTAATTCATTTTAATGTATTTTACATAAATTGTATTACTTCACATGTATCAAGTTTTTCATTTTACTCACTAGTTTGTCACCACCTCCAGTTCTGTGTCAACTCCGTCATGCATTGTCAACTCCGTCAGATGGACTTTTTGTTGTTTTTTGTTTTAAATAATATTTATTTTGTTTCTTGAGAAGCATTTGTCTGTAAAATGAGTAAAAATATCACTACCTGTCTATATTAAAAATCATTTTATATTTTTTTTTGTCAGATGGTGATGACAAAGTTCTGGGTCAGGTCGATTAAAAATGTAATTTAAAAAAAATGCAACTGGGAGCCTGCACCTTAGCATCTTTTCATTTCCTAAACATTATTTGTCATATTTGCATACATAAGGTTGAGAAATAATTTTAAAAAATGTGGGAAAATTAAAACCCATTTTGTCCCTATTCTCATAGGTTATAATGATTTTCATTCAGTCAGGACTTTACGCTGACTCTAGCCACACGCATCACAGGTAGATTCTAGTAAAGCATTGATTAATGCCTGATATTAAAAGTAGTTAACGGGACTTGTAGCCATTATTTTGTGCCCATGTAGCTGGACACCACCCAGGACGATGGAACCCGATCGAACCGTTATACCTAGGATTTCTGTCAGCTAATGTGTCTCTCAGGTTTTGGAAATGGCCCGACAGTCGGTTCCAACTCATGTAGTGTGCGCTGGGCATTAGACTAAGGAAATGAGGAAGGGACGGTCAGTGGAGAGCACCGGAGTTGAGCCTTTTTTCATTCGGTGTCAGCAACAGACAGAATAAAAGGCAGGAAGAGACGATAAAGCCGATAATTAAAATGAGGTCGATAGGTTTAATTTATCGTGCGATTAATTTATCGTTTATCGCAACAGGCCTATATACACATACATATATACATTTCAGGCTCTTAATGATTTATTTGAACTGTTCTTTTTCCACATTGCAAAATTATATGACATAAAACTATGAAATGTATTGCTAATTTCCTCCAATGGAGGCAAAATTTAATGTACAGGCTAAACAGTGAAGTCACACACTATTAACTTAATGTTAAAGTTTGTGTGTTTTTTAATACTTTTATATTTAGTATCCATTTAAATAGTACTGAGAACTTCAAATGATGTAATTAAAGTATAAAAAATGAAAAATGGATGGAAGGATGGATGGATGGATTGTGGAAGATTTATTGGATGCAGGATGGATGGATGGATAGTTAGTTGGTAGGATGATGGATGGGTGAATGGATGGTTGGTTGGTAGAATAATAGATGAATGGTTTTGTTGGATGGCTCGATGGATGATGTGTGGGTGTGATGGATCCATCCAACCATCCAGCTGCCCACCAACACACCCTTCTCTTCCCTCCATCATTCTCCCTCCTTCCAGACTCCAGTTTTCCCAGTCTCCATATTTAAATCCTGACCGCTGCAGAAATTCCTACCATAAACTCGTAGTGAACTTTTCTATTTAATGTTTTGAACTTGGCATCAAAACTCATTAGAACTCTGGAAATTTGAGAGTGGAAACGTGTGGAACTTTGTCATGAAAAATGCGTGGGAACCCAAAGGAACGCAGAGAAAAAAGACCAGCTGGATGGACGCTGCAGTGATCCTTTGTAATCCTAAAATTGACTCAATAAAGAGGCTTACGAACAAAAAAAGGGTACATTATTTTATTTCCCTCCAACTTATGGCAGACAGAGCCAAAAAATATGGAAAACAGGAGGTGATTTGTGGCCAGCCGCTGACGTGAGCCGCCTGTCAGCAAGCCCCGCTGACCTTTGCCAATAAATGAGGCAGAAATATACTGTTTAGACTCAGCGGCTTGACAGATGACTGTATTTGCATGCGTGTGGTTAGGGACCAAATGTGTCGGGGCTGTAGGGTGCACGGCAGCCCAGCACACTCTGCCTGTCCGTGGAATTTCAGCTGGCTCCCAACACATCCTGACCTGCCTCTTAGCTCCACCTCTTCCCAGTTCTGACATGCAAAGCTAAAACTACGAGAGGAAGCGCTTAACGTCATTGACCCATAACTGTTACTTCTAAGAGATTCAGATATTCTAACTTAAATTTCTTTTGCATCTTGAGGATCAAAATATGACAGCAAGTGGAAGGGTTGTTGGGTTTTACAGTAAGATTAATGACTCAAACTGGAGGGAAAAAATGATAGATTCACACAATAAATATGCATGACTAGATGTTCTTATTCCTACTTAAGAATAAAACACAATTTATTAGAATTAAAAATAGTGAATTGTAAAAGTTTTCCATTGGCTATTTTGATTAGAAAAAATCCCTCAAAGCATCACTCCTATTTTGTTTAAAACTGTTTTCTGTAGAGGAGCTATGGCTGCCTCAGACGGTGCTGGCCACCAGAGAAACCCTCTACCTGCTGGACGAAGATCACCAATGGAGGAAAAGCGTCTCGGTGGCACCTGAGGACAGCCAGGCGCGCAGTGGGAGCGTCGCCATCCTGGAAACTCTTCCGATCAGCTGCGTGAGCTCGGTTCTGCTGTGGGCCTCGGACCCGCTCAGGATGGACTTTAAGCTTTACGATGAGGTTAGTTCACCTGAGAAGACGACGGCCGCCACTCGGACTCTTCCACTTCAGCAGAAAGAAACGATGAAGAGCAAGGTCTACTGAGGTTGCAGGAGCATCCTTGCTTTCACTCTCAATTCTTTCACTTAATGTCTTTTTCTCTTTTTTTTTTTTTGGGTCGTCTTTCCGATTCTGTTGGTAATTTTCTTGAGTTCTGGATGTTATAAAAGCTCAAAATCTGTGTTGTGTTCTCATGTGTTTTTCTGCAGACTGTGAAACAGGAGAAGACGTGGTGCGTGCGCACGGAGAGTGCTGAGCTCCTCCAGGGCCTGCTGTCCTGGGTCAGGGCACAGTGGGAGGCTATGTTCGGAGTCAAGCTGCACATGGGTCTGCAAGACGAGCCGTCGTAATGGATCCAAACAAACAAAACAACAAAAGCCGGAGTTTTAGGCTTTAGTCCTATGCAGGTTATTGAGCGAGTCTGCATCTTTTGTTTTCTCTGCACTCAGTCTGCTCCCATTACGCTTGTTGCTTCAAGCCAAGAGCTTGGAAATGATTGCACTCATTCATGTGGTACACAAGCCTGTAAAAAAGCTCTGCTTGCATAATTTTTCCTCCAGGAAAAAGAAAAAACCAACATCTACAGTGAATTTTTCTACAGCTGAAATGAAGAGTGCCTTGTTTCTTTGTGAAGATGAGACGTCCTGGTTTGGCGATGCACGTAAATGCACGTCGTGTTTTCTGGATCACCTGTAGCGCTTTGCCAATGTAGGGCAGGTTCCTCCGGCTGGGATAAATGGCAATAAGACTTTAAATGCGTCCAGCCGTCATGCGCTCAACACGAGGAACGGCTAAGGCTCTCATCAAGGGAAACCTTTGACCCCAATTAGGGTGTCATAGTTGGTCTAAGTATAAATGGTCTTGTATACTGTTTAAAATGTAATCCACAGGTGTTCCAGATGTGTGAATTAAGAATTTATATTAAATAGATCATCAGGAAAAATCTAACCTAGCTAAAATCTAACTTAAGTTATGTTGTTGATCCAGAATGCTCACTTTTATTTTTGTATAAATGTGTCATAAATGTGTTTGCTTGGATATAAAAAAAAGAAAAAGTTGTCTTTGTTCATGTCGTTGCATGTCCTTGAACAATTTTGCTGAGTTGCTGTTGCAAATTTACAAAACAGACACATTTTATTTATTGATGATCCTGCTGATGGACTCATGATGGTGAGATTGGAAAAATAAAAAGATACCCGAAGCTGAAATTTCTCCAAGACGGACTAAAATTAAGTTCCTTTTATCCTCCTTCAACTGCAGATAAATCATCACATGTTTTACATTTTAATAGTTTTACTCTTCGTTATTTGCATGTCTGCACTTGCTTGCTGCAGTGTCTCAAAAATATTAAGGAAGCCACATTCCAAAATGGAATTTTTGTCTTCACCTGATACAACTTGTAAAGGTGGAGTTATTTTTTGCCTAGTTGATTATGCTAAAACGCTGAAGAGAGGCCTAGACAAGGACTTTTATTTAGCCATTTTCCTCATATTTGATTCAGCCTTATTTGTTGCGTTTCCGCTAAGGTTTGGGATAAATTAGGGATAGTAAGACTACGTTACTAGTCTTAGTAATGTAGTAATATCAAGGCCTACTGTCTAGTAGGCCTTGATGTGAATGATTTATGACCCCTAACTGACCCAGAGGTGAAGAACAACAACATGGACGTCGCGCTCTGTCTATAGAAGTGATAATAAAAGCTGTCGTCTATGGATGTTTGACACTGTTGTCGCATGATCATAAGACGAAGAAAGTTTAGAAAACTAAAGTACAGCTAAAAGCAGTGGTATTTTGGGGACCATTGACTGGACCCTTTGTCTAGAAGTCTGTTTGGGTGTGTAGTCTGAACCAGAAGTGGTGAGATGTGATGCGCTTCTGTGACAGACTTTCTAAACAATTAGAATTATAGCACATATATCATGTCAATGATGTAAAAATCGGACAAAAGCGACATGACCATTTTGACTGCTGTGAAAAAAAATCTGATCCGTTACAGCATATTTGATTTAGTACATGTGGAAGTGGCACAAAAGCGATTTTTTTTTTTTTTTTTTTTTTGGGGGGGGGGGGGGGGGGGGGGCATCGTAATTGGGCTGTTCATACTCCCTGATACGGGTGACTTCAGGCAAAAAATAAATTGGACTTCGATTGCATTTGCCTTCTGTGTGAATGTAGCAAGTTGCATGTGACGCTAAGGCTTATAGCTTTTGATAGGAAGTTAATAAAACTGAATGTTTTCAAAATTCTCTTAAATTTTCTACCAGTTGTTGAACAACAGGAATAATTATTGTTTGAGAAGGTGACATTCAAACCTGGTTGTTGCTAAAACTCAAGTCGTTCAACTCTTGGATCTTTTTTCAGGCACGTTATCACCACCACCCGGGTATGAGTTTATATGGTTTTGTGATTTTTATTTTTTTTTATTTTGCTTTCCTCTGCTAAACAGAAAAAAAAAAAATCATAAACCCTAAAAGTTTTGGGTAATCTTCTACAGAGGAAACAGTGGGTAAATAAAGGATCCACAAAACGAGTCTTGGTTTCTGAGGTCGAAACACAACAAAGATGTTCTCTTTGGTCATTTAGTACCAAATGTTTTTCTTTTTACCGGGTTCAGTCCAGGCTCAGCTGTTTGAAAGCCATATTTGCCCAGTCTGTCGGTGTAAATATTTCTTAGGCTGAGCATATGCTGCACACATGTTTCAGAAGACCAGGATCACCTTCAGTTCCAACCACGTGGTCGAGGACCCCTCGCTCTCACTCTCGCCGTCCCTCCACAAACCAGTGAGCAGCAACATACAAATGACTGGTCGTTACTTACCCGCGACCGGCCTGGTTTCAAAGTTCCCGGTGGTTTGATGCACACAATTAACAAGCGGCTCATTTTGCGGTTGATTTTTATCTCTGTGCAGGACTGAAGGTCGTCCATAGTTGAAGAATGCCGCTCTTCCATGTGGATGTGCGCAGAAGACCAGCACATTTCACACCATAGATGTTCTTCCAGGTTTCGCAATGGTTTCTTTCACACCAGCACTTTCATTTAAAATTTCATATTTTTCCGTAATGGTCTACGTTATGATGTACGAACAGGAAATGGAGGAAACCGACAGGCTGCTAGTGAGATCTGTAGATTGTAATTGTTCGGAACATTTTTGTGTTATAATATTTTGATTTTAAAATTTATGTTGTAGTTACAATTTTTAGACTTGAATTAGTTCCCATGGTTTATCCAATGTTCTTCTTAGTCTCCTTCTTGAAGGCTAGCCTTTGTGCATAAATTAGCCTGTGTTCATTGTTAACTAGTCTTAGTTTGGTTTGCCTTACTTGACATTTTCTTTTCAGGACTTTTGTCTAGATTTATTATTATTATTATTATTATTATTATTATTATTATTATTATTATTATTATTGCAGAGTATTAGGACCAAACTATTACGAGAATAAATTTGTAAAATTAAGACAAAATGTAATGAGAAAAAAAGCTTTAATAGTTCACCAGCTCAGTGAGTCCATGTGGTTCTTGCTTCAAAATAGACACACAATTGTTTTAAAGTCCTTCTTCTGATAATAATTTGAAAAAAAAATTACATTGAATTATAACCTCACAAAATGCTGGACATCCCTCATTTTACTTTTTTATTGCTGTGTGTAGCATTTCTCATAAAATTACTACTTCATTCTCTTATTATTATTCCTTTGTTCAGGTAATTTTCTGACATAATTCTCAAAGTAGTACATCTTTCTCAAATTATGACTATTCTCATTTTATGAGAACTTTATTCTCGTATTATTATTACTTTGTTCTCATAGTATTATGGCTGCATTGTTGTACAGCATTCTTGTTGTATGTAAGATTACAACTTCTGGTAATATGATTTTATTGTCATAATAAAATTTTATTCCTATTTTATTATGACTTCATTGTCATGCATTAATCTTGCAATATTGTGACTTTATTCTTGTATAGTTATACCTACATTGTCGTACAACATTTTTGTAATACATGGTAACATGGCCTTTATCTCATAATGTTATGACTTTATTCTCGTACAACTTTTTGTCATAATATGACTATGTTAAAGTGATTCTTTTGTCCCAATACGCCATTATAGGTTTTTCTCGGTTTCTCTTTGCCAGCATTTTCTTTTGGGCCCTTGTTGCCAGGTTTTTGAGATATTTTCTTTTTTTATGGATTTTTAAAAAAAACAAAACTATTTTTGGACAAAATAGTATTTTTTTTCTTTGCACCTTTGTTCTTGTGTCTCACTGTTTGACACACCAATTGAGAAGTAGACTGAGAACTCAAAGCATCACATCAGTTTGCAATCACTAAACAGTCTGAGTTGATTTATAGCGTCTTCCTAATCAACATTGCAGAGTTCATGCAAGCTTTTGTGAAAAACATTACACACAGCAATGATCATTTTCCTTCTTTGTTGAGGTGTGTGAAGAGTGGAAATTACAGCAGTCTAAATGTGTTATTTTCCTCCCTGAAAGAGAAAAAATAGCTCTCATTGAAGGCACATAAAACCAAGTTAATGGTGAAGCATACTGTACATCATTAATTCCGCTTTATGGCTCTGATCTGGCACCATTTTGTTCTCCCACATGCCCACACTAAGCCATGCATTTCACAGTTTTATTGTCTTTCTCCATGTGGTAAGTGTTTCTTTTGTGTTTTCTGCTTTTTTATTGTTTTTGATTATCTAAATAACCGTTCCCGGGCCTCCGTCATCCGCCCAGGAACAAAGTGGAAGGGGGGAAATTCTGCCTTTTTTTTTTTTTTTTTTTTTTCTTTTGATTTGGCTGGCTCTGGTGGAATTAATGATCCTAAAAACTCAGCATTGAAAAATCCATGAGTCAGACTGATTGTATGCTCCGAATTTGTCATTCACTTTTATGTTTTTAGGAGGAAATAAGCAATCTGTGTCGATACTAAAACATTACCGCAATGTGTGTTTGCTGTAAGGAGAAGCCGCGGTCTGCGCTGGTGGGCAAAAATCAAAAGTACCTCATATCAGTCAGTCCTGCCCTTAATGATGCAGCTAATATTCTCTCTGCAGGGGTCTAAGGAGGAATTTTTAAGCCCTTACAGAGCCTCGCACGACCCTGTCAAGATCCCACAACAAATTTGTGGGCCTGTTGGCTCACAATTTCCCTTTTTTTTTTTTCTTCTTCCATAGCTCCCAGCATACTGATCTAAAGCCAAGGTCTGCAAACACAAAAGAGATGCAGGTGAATAAGTTCATGTTTCACTCAGACCTTATCAGAGAACCGAAGGATTGATAGTCCGACAGGAAGCAGGGCTGCTTGGCCCAGTGCAGACATCTGGCCTGGTTTGACTCCTCGACGCCTCCTCCAAACATTTCAGGTTCTCTTTCTCAGTCTGGAGCACTACAGCTGCGCTGTGCATGACAGCAAGAAATCTGTTGTTTTTGTTGAATGCCAGAGTCAACCAGATTGTTGGACGGTGGGGCCTCCGCGTGTAAAAGCTGCAGTCACGCAGTCCTCCGTCAGACCGGACGGCTGCCAAGCTGTGGTCCAGGGCATAACATCAACTCCTCCACATACAGACGGATCGAATGTTACAGTACGCAGTTCTTTTCTGTGGAAAATGTTCTTATATGATGACTTTGGTTATTAATAGAACCAACTTGGCTGACCTTGATTAAAGCTTGTCTGGAGGAATTCTTACCCACTCTGCTGTTCAATTTGGCATGTGAAAGTTCATCTGACAGGTTTGGACTTAAGTCTAGACTTTGATTGGGCTGATTTCTTTATTGATCATTGTCCTGCATGAGCTTAAAGTCATGAGCTTGATACTTTTTCACAGCCCTGTATTATGATCCATCGAGATGGATGTAGGAGCTGTAAAGTTTTGATTTGTAAAACTTTAACGGGAGGTCCTGAACTCAACACTTTGTTGCTCAGCCGGCATTGCACCATCACCGTTGTCTCATACAAGTCCCTGAATGAACTATCAAAGGTTATGATATGTACTCTTTGAGTCAACTCCCCGAGCAATTTGGAAGCTGCAGTTTATTGAATATTTTGTGCAGGCCATTAAAGCTGGAGGACAGACTGAATATTATACACAACTTTCACTGTGTGTAACTCTTTAAACGCAGCAAAGCAACTCAACAGCCTCCACAGTTGTTATAAAGTTGAATCATAAATCCAAAAGTGAACATTACAACCTTCATAAAACCTGGATTT